GATGATAGATAGATAGATAGATAGATAGATAGATAGATAGATAGATAGATAGATAGATAGATAGATAGATAGATAGATAGATAGATGATAGGATGGATGGATGGATGGATGGATGGATGGGAGAGATTATGGATGGAAGTAATAGAGATAGATAGAACTGGATAGATGAGATAGATAGATAAGATAGATAGATAAGGTAGATGATAGACAGATGATAGATAGATAGATAGACAGACAGACAGACAGACAGACAGACGGACGGACGGACGGACGGACGGACGGACGGACGGACGGACGGACGGACGGACGGACGGACGGACAGACAGACAGACAGACATCTCAATAGCCATCACTTTACAGGTCTACTGCACTATAATTGCAATAGGAAAATTGTCGTTTTGTTGTCATCTGGGACAAGCCATCTGTGTGCTAATTTCTAACCTCACCAATTATCCTGCTTATGAATTTCTAACATTGCTAAGCAAAGTTTTAAAAGCTTTGTGGAACAAAAAGCCCGTGCAAAGAAAATAAGCTCCTGATAAAACTCATTATTCTTAGTTTCACGTGTGAAAGACGCCTGAAGATGGTTTCAATCCTTGGGGACCCCCCTCCTGCCCCCCCAGAAGAAAGCGCTGTCCTTGGTGCTGAACTGTAAATCAGGCACTACTTGAAGGAAAGAGGAAGATGGCATGAAGAGTTGATGGTGTATACATTTTGGTATGGAATTTACATCTTCAGAGGGTGGGGAATATCCACAGAGAGTAGCTATGTTAGGCTGTGGTAAAAAGAACTAAAAAAAAAAAAACCTTTAAAGGATTTGTAAATTTTCACATTTTTATCTGCAAAGATCAGCCTTTACTTCTATTCCCACCTGAAGTCTTTTTTTTTCTTCCTTTCTAACACATTTGTGTATGCTTCATTTATTTATTTATTTCTATCCCAGATTTATTGTTTTTTATAATGTTGTGAGAGATGGAGGGAAGAGGAGAAGGGAGAACAGGATGAAGGGAAGGGAAGGAAAGGTATTCAAATAGTGCTGTATTAAAATAAAAAACAAACTTTTTAAAAATCTTTTGTTTCACTGCTCCATCAAAAGTAGAACACCATAATAGCTAGGCGTTCCATACAAATAAGGAACCTAATAATTTAAGAGTAGGAAAGCAAAGCCAGACAATGAAACTTGAACCAATTTTTTTATCAAAATGGGGTGTGGGGAGATAACCCTTTTAGCAGGCCCAAAATAGAGAGTTTTTAGAGTCTGCTTAGTTGAAACAGGCTTTTTCTTTTATTTCAGCTGGAACAAAAAAGAAGTATCTGCAGATTTGGGTGGACCATTGGTTTATATCTTACTCACATCTTGGCCTACTAGGAGAAATTCTAAAGGCTCTTATTTTTTTTAAGATTAGTTGATCTGGGATGACCAGACCATTCCCTTGAGCCAACTTGAGATGGAAACATAACACTCTCTTCCT